TCAGCAGGACGGGATATTGTATTAGACTTCTAATAGCGCTGCTTAGTTCTTGCAATCCAATAAGAATAATGTCTCTACTAGCCAGCTCGGGATTGCCTCTTACCTTTGTGATTCTTGCATTATTATACTTTTTCAAAGCCCTGTTTCAAAAGCTACTTTCTTTATTTCCCTTGTCTTAGCAGCTGGGTCATTTTGAGTAGTATCGTCATTGTAATAGTGCTATATTAACTTAAAGAATCCCTTAGTTCATGTTTGCCTTTTATCCTTAAAGTACTAAAGCTTAGAGAGCAAACGAGTATAGAATTAAAAACACTTTTTAATGTGTTTTGACTGCAAGGGACAACACGGCCTTTATGGTGTGTCTGAAAATTTGAAGTGGGTAATACTGAGGAATGATAAACGGTCTTTCTTCCCCACTTGAGACATATTTATAAATTATATAATGTCTGGTGGAGCTCTCTAACACAGGACTCTTGTAGAAACTGTTCATATTCAGCTGCCCTGTCATTTTATTAGGGTTGTTATTAATTTCTTTTCCCATAATTACATATAGGAAAGGAGCATATAGAGCTCTCCGTTTCATTTTGAATAGCTGGTTATTGCTTTGTAACCAGAGGCTTTTAGGATTTCAACTTCCTTTTTAATTAAAAGGAATTAACCCCCTGTAGGAAATAATCCATCTACTGGGAAGCGTTCCCACCAAAAATTTTGGGAGATCTGCCAATAGATCCCTGTGCCAAACTTACACTTATCCCTCTGTAACTAAACTTGAACTGCCCTCACCCTAACCCCTTTTCTTTTCTCTCCCAGAAAACTCCTGGCTTTCTGGACATTTATAATGTGGCTTGGTGGTTTCTGCAAGCTTGGATAGCTTCACTTGGGGTTTCTCATTATATATACATGTAGGCTTTGAAAACACTGATATTGTTTCAGGCTTTATAGTGAGGGAATTCACACCCTTTAATAGGAGACACTTATAACTTGGTTTTTCAAATTTAAAAGGGTATTATTAGTCAACCGATTGCTTAGTAGCAAATTGTTTTACTAAGAGTAAGAAGGTAACCCGTAGGTAAACACAGAAGTAGATTTATTTAAAAAAAATTTTTTTTTTTGGGTGGCAAGGGTGGACTTAGGAGAAGCTTGCACTGTTGTATAGCGCTTTTGTGATAGGTGTGCGTCCTTCATGCTTTAAACAAAAGGCCAACCCCCTGTTTTCTTTCTTTGGCATGTCCTAGAAATCCTATTCTGGTGAAAACACAGCTAGTGCCATTGCACGTTCTGCGGCCGCCACGGCTTTGTCTCTCCTTGTGCCAGTTTTCATTATCTCTTGCAAAGAGAAGGTTGAGGAAATCCTGAACATGCTGACTGCCAGGTTACCTGGGAAACCAAGTGCTGATGAGTCTCAAGCCGTGCAAATCCACATGGGCCTTGCTTTGGGGATGTTTCTCTCTCGCTTGTGTGAGGAGAAACTCAGGTACAGTTTATTAAAATATTCCTGTTTTTCCTCTTTGTGACTTACGTGGAGGATTTGTCCCTCTCCCCCCATCCCCCGACTCTCTCTCTCTCTCTCTCTCTCTCTCTCTCTCTCTCTCTCTCTCTCTCTCTC